ATACCTAATTTGATAATATAATGTGTTATTATTATTGAATTAGCATTGCACATGACTAATTTTTTTAAATAAATAAATAAATATTTGTTATATGTGTAATTTAATTAAATATCATTTCAAAATTTATCAAATTTATTTTTTCATCGCTCATGCTCCATTATAGAATTTTTAAAAATTTTGTATATTTTCAAGATTTGTTATTCTAATAAAAAAAAATGATAAAAAGAAAATAAATAATTAAAGTTCTATTTATTTTCTATAATTTTGTAATTGAAAGTATTTTTTAGTGATGTTTGAAAATTAAATTTTTTTAAATTAGTTTGATTAAGATTCTACGTATAAATCATTGAACAAAATAAAAATAATTATCAATATACCAATTGTATTAGAACCTTACTATATTTAAAATTAGTATTAGAACCTTAACATGAGATAAAATTTAATATACAACACTATAATATATATTATAAAACATATTAAAATTTTTAAACAATTCAAGTTTTCACATAAAATCTTAAAACACTTTAAAAGTTTACTGTAACTAAAAAATTATGAAAAATTATATATACCTTATTTTTTATTTTTTTAAAAAATAGTTTTGATGAAAAATAAAATATACATATGTAGTCATAATATTATTTTTATAAGTGAGATGAGTAATATTATATTGATACAGTTTTTGAATGTATTTTTTTGAATATTTTATTAAAATTTATAACAATGCATATATTTTTTAAAAATAATATAATCAATCAAAAAGTTTTATAAAAATTGACATTTATAAATAGATAATAAATAATTAAAAAATTAATTGATTAAAATTCCACTTATAAATTATTGAATAAAATAAAAATAATTATCAATAAATCAATCATATTGGAACGTTACTGCATTTAGGATTATCTAAGTCAATTGAGATAAAATTTAATATACAATGCTATAATATATATTATAAAGCATATTAATTTTTTGTTAAAAAAATCAAGTTTTCACATAAAAGCTTAACTCAGACTGAAAAGTTTACTGTGACATAAAAATTATGTAAAGCTATAATACACTATTTTTTATCTTAAAAATAAAAGGGTTAAACATTTTGAAGAAAAATAAAATATACATATATAGTCATGATATTATCTTTATAAATGAGGTGAGTAATATTATATTGATAGAATTTTTGAAGGTTTTTTTGAATATTTTGTTAAAATTTAAAGTGATGTATGTATTTTTTAAGAGTAACATAATCATTCAAAAAGTTTCATAAAAATTGACATTTATACATAGAAAATATATAATTGAAAGTAATCTTAGATGTAATTTAGAGATTTAAATGTATAAGGATATGATGGTAATTTAGATATTAAGTGTGGAAGGATATAGTGACATTTTTAATTCTTTATGAGGGTAAAATAGTGAATCAAAATTTTTTTATATTAAAGTACTTTTATTAGTAATATAGATATAGATATAGATCTATATCTATACAATTATAAAATATTAATAAAAGTGAAAAACTTTTGTTTGACTAAAATAACCTTGATAATTTGAATAATGTCCATATTATCTTCTTCATTTAATGACAAATACAAATATTGTTCGAAAGTTGTTTACACTTTCGGGCTATTGCGCTGGTTTTGTATTTTTTTATAAATGCTACATATATTCTATATGTCAAGTATGAGTTAAAGAAATTCATCAGTCACTCATAATGTTACATTTCCAGTTCATCCAATCCGAAGGTCAATTTTTTTTAGGTTTTAGCTATATAATATACATTATTATTAATTTAACAGTTCAGAATTATTAATTTTTTCCCTCTTAATTTTCAATTCCTCATCTGTCTTATATTATTGTACTAGCTCAAACTCTAGGTTTATGGATTTCTTTTTTTGTGGTCATCAAATCTTACCTTTTTGTTTCTAGGTTTATGGTTTTAGGATCTGAATTTCTATATTTCTTGTAAGAGATATACATTTTTCTTCAAAAAGTGCTCTGTTTTATTTATAACTAACCAAAGAACATGTTAATATTGCATTTGTGATCATTGTTTTCTATTTACATTCATGTGATTTATAGCTCAATGGTTTTGTGATTGTTTAATTGTATTAATCTAATTATTTTTGATACTTGAAGTAGATTTGTTGACAACAACTTGAGAAAAATAAAGACACTGTAAAACTTCTGTGGGCTTTCAGATAGGATGTGAAACTTGATTGTACATTGTTTGACTGTTGAGCATTAATATAACTATGAAAAAAGGGAATTGATAGGAAAAAATCTCATTACGACTATCTGTATTATTGTATATGACACTTCTGTAGTCGAATATATGTCTATGTAATATATACAAACATATATCAAAAGAAGTTATTGGAATATACAAAGAAATCACCAGTTTGGTCCTTGACTAATAATGTTGATATTTGTATTCATGGTTGTGTTTACATTTATATACCATCCTTAGAAGCCTAATTATTGTTGTTTTATAGAAAATAACTTAAATATTCAAGTCCTTGATAAGACATGCTCAAATTTGTGGTGTCCATGTGTGTGTCAAAAACTAATCTAAGGTTAAGCCTACTTTTTTTTGAATCCTTTTGCAATTATGAATTTAATATTTAGTCGAATTTTGTTGGAGGCTAAATTTTTGTGGTGTAAAGAACGAACAATCTTTTTCAAATTGGAAACTTTAATATGAAAATGTTTCACGTGCAATGCACGAATGCACCAATTAGTGTATTAAAAATGTTATAATATAATTTTTTGTAAGCTTGTATTATTTATTATAACAAAAATCAATCATTGACATTGACGAAACGAGTAACAAAATGTCACATTGTAAGTTAAACTTTTTTATCTCACAACTTCAAATGAACTTCTAAGTGAGTAACTGCAAGACAAGTCACCCTCTAAAGGATAATCACTCTTATTTTTTTTAAGGACATACTCTATCTCAGTTCAAATCATAATAGGCGACTTACTAAGCAAGTCTAAGTTGATTAGCGTTATTTTTGGGTAATAGATTATATACACTAAGAACAATGCTATTAAGATCTAAAAATCTAACATAATTTGTTGACCTAATTCACTGTGACTTTTAGATTAGTTATACGCTTTAAGGAGTAGAATTTAGCGTTGATCCAATAATTCTTATTAAACCACGTTATTACATCAACTCAAATTTTTAGGTATAAATTACATTAGTCGTACACTGTGATAGCTGTTACCACCCTCTGAAGTTGGTGGTAACGATTTTAAGGTCGTTCTTGACTTTTATATCGTTCTCGAGTAGATTATGAAGTAGAGTTTGATTTACGAAATATTCAACATATTCAACAATAGCTGTTGACTTCGAATACTACTTGTCCGATGGAGCTTGCCTTTAATCCACAAGACACAAGACACAAAGACACAATGTTATAGGCTTTGCAGTACGCTCAAACATACCGAGCACAAAGTATAATTCTTGCCCAACTTACTGCCGTCATTTTTGTACTCTGGAGTCCCCGTCTTGATGCTTGAAAGCTTCAACAATCATATTTCGAGGTTACCATCTTTTACACAGTAAAAAACAATGTTTTTTTTTACTGTTTTAACAGACGTTTCATGTAATTAGCCAAAATCGATGCTGACTTCTTGTGTTCTTTATCTTTCATAAATAGTGTACGCCAGTAATGCAGCCTAGATGGAAAAAAAATAGAATAGAGTAATGCACACCACCTGTTTGTGGGATTGTTTAAGTGGGTTGAAACACTTCAATGTGAGTGCACCACTATGATGACCTTTGAAAACACATTCATTACATTCATCAAGGTAAACTTAGCACTTGCTGTGTTTATTATTTTTTTACTCCATATTTGTGTTAATCATCATTATTACATTCGTCTTGTGCATATGTAATTGATTGGCCTTGTCAATGCTCCCAATTCGTTGTTTAATTCTGATTTATCATTTCATGCAGTGAAAATGGGATTTATGCTAGTGTTCCTCTTAATATAATTCAGCCAAAGCTATCATAAGATTCCTTTTTCCACTCAAACCACTGGTTAATAGATTTATTGCATTTTTGAGAGATTGATCGTTGTTGGGTTCATTGTAAATTTTGGAAGACACTCCTATCCTAAAGAGAAAATGGCTATACTTGAGCTCTCTTGGCCTAGTCTGTCCATTTTGTGCAGGAACTATTCGTTTTTTGAAAAGCAACTTACTTTTACGTATGGACTCTCCACCATGACAAAAGAAATCTTTGTCTTCATGAATCTTATTCTTTGGAGAGGATCCTAGCTTGCACTCACAAGTCATAAAGTTTGTGTGAGTGGATCCATTTTTGCATACACAACGCAAACACGTTTACATGTCCCTTGTGTTTTATGCTTGTTTCGTGATATGCGTTGGGAAATATTTGACATACCTGCAAGTTGATTAACTAGTAGTTGACCTCATTCTTTTCAATAATTTGACCTAGACAGTGTAGCAGTGTAGAGCTAGTACAAAAATATATGAAAGCTATGCTTCTAATATAACTGGAAGAATCCAATGTCTTGAAACCCTTTAACTAATCGAATCATATCTTGGCCAGTGAGTGGAGGTTCATGGCACACCATCTACGGTGAGAAATTTTTTGTTCTTTTTCATCCTTGTTCACACTTCTATTCCAACAAAAACAATCAAACTTAAAAGAGAGAGTAAGATAAATATGAAAGATAAAATGAGCCTTATGCTTTCCTTGGGTCCCTCTTGCCCACTTCTCTTTTCTAATGGATTGCTGAGCTGAAGAGGACCCTTTACAAACTTATCATGATGAAATTATGTTCAGATTCAGGTACCCATTTTGATAAAAAAAGAAGTCACTTGCGAATCAGGTCTTCCACTACCCAGTAACATCTCTGCCTTTTGGAGCATTTTTTTTTAATTTGGGTCTCTCTCATGAAATAAAGAGCTTGATAAAGAGGGAAAAAACAGAATTCTCAAAAGTTAGAGAATTATTTCCTTTGTGGTGGGTCAATGAAAATTATAGATGCTTTGCCATAAAGCAGTTTTATTTGGTTGAATTCCTCAAATGCTTACAATATGTCAAGAAAGAAAAAGAAAAAGGAGAAAAAAAAAAGTGCTTTTCTCTATATACTGCTTTTCTTGGTTAGTCTTTCAGTAGTTTGAGAGCCAGTACTGTTCTATAGACCCTATGCTACTTTACATAATCCCCATAAAACACCTCTAATCACAGATCATATGGGTTCTTCGGCTTGGTGATGTTTGCTGTTTCCTCGGTCTTATTTGACGACTGGCAATAATCAAATTTGCGGGGATCTGCTTCAATCAACAACTGAACGACTTCACTCATAGTTGGGCGAAGGGCCGGGGTGCCACATGTGCAACGGATGGCAATCCGGAGCACCTTGATCATCTCATCCCTGAACAACCCTGACACTTGCTTGTCTAAGACCTCTATAGCTCCTTCTTTCGTCTCCACTTTGGTTGAAACCCAATATATGATATTCTTGTTCTCTCCAAACTCTGCCTCCACAGGCTTCTTCCCTGTTATTAATTCCATGAGTACGACTCCAAAGCTGTAGACATCACACTTGGTTGTTGCCTTGGAAGAATATGCATATTCTATCACATGCATAATGAAAGAAACATAAGGCTGATATTTAAGGCCTAATTTTTAATCAAAGAATATAAATAGTAATTAAGTTCTGTTCTAAAACATTATAAAATATATTGCACATATAGGGATGCTCATTTTTGTGGAATCACAGTGCATCCTTGAGAGCATGCATAGAGAGCCAATGTGCGACCAAATCAAAATCAGATCTATGCAGAATCCTTTACAAAATTGTGTGCAATTGCTAAAAGAATTGATTTCTACAAATGTTGAAGGAAAACTACTAAGCGTGCTTGTGCTAATTACCCTAATGAATCATGAGCACATATGTATGTGCCACAGATATTAGTTTGAAATTATATTAGAGCTGAGTGATCAGAAAATTACCAGGAGCCAAGTAACCATAAGTTCCTGCGATAGCAGTAGTGGTGGAATCCTTCCCCACTCTTGCTTGCAAAACTTTGGCTATTCCAAAGTCTGCAACTTTTGGCTGATATTCGACATCCAGTAGGATGTTGGTCACCTTGATGTCTCTGTGAATAATTGGTGGCAACAGATCATGGTGAAGATAAGCCAAACCCTGTGCAATCCCTAAGGCAATCTGATGACGAGTGGGCCAATCCAAAAGGATCTTTTTTCCGTGAAGTGCATCCCAAAGGTTTCCGTTTGGCATGTACTCATAAACTAACAAGCTGCAATCCAAACTGGAGAAGTAGCAATACAATTTCACAATGTTCTTGTGCCTTATGCTTCCTAGAGTCTCAACCTCAGTTTTCAGCCCCTTGTCTAGGAACAATTCATCATCAGAAACAGAATCTTTAGCTTTCCCACTCCAGAGCTTCTTTACAGCTACAACTTTCCCGTTCCTCAACTTAATTTTGTACACTGTCCCAGATCCACCATACCCGACTATGTTCTTATCAACCATGGCTTCAATGATCTCATGTTGATCAAAACTTAAACGATGGAAGGTTTTGACATCATATGAGAAAAAGGAAGAAAACATGGTCTCCTCATGTTCCATCCAGCTTTTTCTTTACTAAACCAGTGCTTTAGAAATAAGATGACTCCAACAATAACGATCGCTACCGAAATTCCTATCACCCAGATGCAGTTTATCTTCTTACGGTTGTAAGGTTGTGAACATATGGGGATATTGGGATCTGAAGACTTGAGATAGGCAGGAACACAAACACCTGGATTGCCTGAAAAGCTTTCTAATAATCCCCCCTTGATAAATGGGAGAGGGATGGGACCAGAAAGCAGATTGTTTGAAAAGTTCATGGAGTTTGGTAGCAGTTCCCCAAGACTTTCTGGGACACTTCCCATCAATTGATTGTTAGAGAGGTCAAGAACGTTGAGAGATTCTAGTGAAGAAAGTGACTTGGGGATGGAGGAATTGAACTTGTTACCTTGCAATAGCAACAAATTGAGCTTTTTTAGGTTGCTGATTTCAGAAGGGATTGGGCCGGACAGGAGATTGTTACTGAGATCAAGCTTTACCAGATTGATAGCTTGAGAGATTTCAGAAGGTAGAACACCTGAAATCCTGTTGCTCTGTATGAATAGTTCCGACAAGTTCTTAGCATTTCCAATGATATTGGTAATTGGACCATTCAAGCGATTGTAACCCAAATCAATAATTGAAACACGAGGAAGAGCTAGAAGCCCTCCTGGTATCACTCCCTCCAAGTGGTTATGATCAACTCGAAACCGGATAAGAGACTCACACTTTGCATAACTTTCAGGTAGTACGCCAGAAAATGTATTTTGAAGGACAAGGAAATATAACAGTTTACCTCCGTTGCACACTGCTGCCGGTAGTTCTCCAGACAGATGATTTTCTGACAAGTCCAAAAGAGTCAGAGGTGATGATATCCCTAGATCTCGTGGAACTTTGCCTGTCAAAAAGTTGTCATAAAGGGATAACAAGGTCAATGTTGTTGAGTTATCAATGACATCCGGAATTTTTCCTTGGAGACTGTTGTTGTAAAGCTGCAAGACTTCGAGTTTTGGAAGGCGGCAAATAGATTCCGGCAATTTGCCTATCAACTTGTTCACAGACATGTCCAAATCTCTGAGTTCAGTTAGATTTCCAAGCTCCTCAGGTATTTCTCCATCAAGTTGGTTATAGTAAAGCTCAAGCTGCTGCAAGTTCTTCAGCTGCCCAAGCTCTACTGGAATCTTGCCCACTAGAAAATTCCCACTCAATTCAAGATCAACAAGCGATGACATGTTTCCTATCGATGCTGGGATTGGACCACTCACCATGCATGTAGTCAAGACCATGGACTTCAGCTTCGTCAGCCTGGAAAAGTTCTCTGGCAGTTGCCATAGGTTAAAACCACTATTTTCATTGAAGTTCACCGCCTCAAGATTGGTGAGGTTTGTGGTTGATATAGGGAAGTCACCTGAAAAGAGGTTGTATGACAGGTCAAGTAATCTGAGGGACTTCATTGGCGATAAGTCTGGCAGTGTTCCTGTAAGATATGTAGAGCTCATGTTCAGCTCTTCCAACAGAGAGCAGTTGGTGATGGTCTGAGGAAAGTTACCACGGAGGAGGTTGTGGCTGAGACGAAGAATTTGCAGCTCAGGCAAGTAAGCACATACATCGTCAGGGAAACTGCCAGATAGTGACCACCCAGATACGTCAATCTTCACAACGTACCTTTGATCATTGCAGCCAATTCCTGTGTAGTTGCAGAAATGTTTTGCTCCACTAACATCCCAATTAGTCAAGGAGTTACCTGAGAGAGAGTTTTTCATGACCGTGAAGAACTGAAACTGGTTATCTATGGTGGCTCGACAAGGATAGAAAAGAGAAAGCAATAACACAATAAAGAAGAAAATATACTGAAGAGCCATTACAGAACCAGAAAATATAGAAAGGGGTAAATATGTTGGTTGTTGCTGGGAAGGAGACGAAAGGGAATAGATATATAAATGGCATAATTGGTGGGATCATTGAGTACATTAGTAACGAGCCATGACAATGGAAAAGGAGGTTCGTGCAGTAGTGTACTAGAGAGAGAGAGAGCCACACATATTTGCAGAAAGAAGCTTTAAGTTTATACCCCACTAACACTTGTAGAGAATAACATCAATGTAAATCCTTTATACAGATGAGATGTTTGAATAAACGGAATCTGATCGTATTTTTTGCATGCTTTCACAGATCAAGACCTTCTGATGTGATCAAGCCTTTTGATCATGGATTAGAGCTGCCCACATTTTCTGTACTGGTATGTTAGACGTATTAGATTTTCCCATATGAAGCTCAGTTATCTTCTGCATGTATGGTGTTTATGATGTAGTCTCATAATTAAGCTTGTTACATTGACATCCGAATTCTTTGTATGTTGTATGCATGTATATTGCCAAAACAATATTGCAAAGGGCCCATGAAGCTTTACTTGTTATGTATTAAGTGCTCTAAAAAAGAAGATTTGGCCTCTAATAATAATTTCAAAGTAGCATATCATGTCAACTTATATATTTCTCCATTCATTTGGCCTTGTTGGGACCTAGTGAAGAATGGTGTCCTCTAATATTTGTGTAATACCTGTATGGAATTTCATGGTGAGTCTTTCTGTCTCCTGTAAATGGGATGGAAGGATTAGAAAATTCTCTCTTTGTGGTAACAGAGACAAGCTGTAAACTCAAACGTCCTGAGTTTAAATCTTGACAACCCCTTAGGATCAGACAATGAAGAATTTATCCCTCACGAATATCCTAGTCCCAGTGTGAATGACCTGTCTTTGACAGACTGGACCGGAGAGATGATTGATCGAAGAGCGCGTAAATTAGTTCGAACACTCTTGACCGTTGAAAAAAAAAAAAGAAAAAAAGAAAAAAGAAAATTCCTTACTGGATTGTTGTGGTCCTTGTAGATAGCTGGGAATATATCCTGATGTTTAGATTGCGACTTGGATTGTGTGAAATAAAGGGGCAAGGGGCAGGGACCATAGTAGAGGACTAATCAATCCAAAGACCATTGAACAGTATGATTAGCTACAAAAGATTGAGAAGGAAACTTTACTGACGCATGAGGGGAAAGCCAAGTCTGTAGTCAGGATTATAGAACACCATAACCACACTTGCTTCAACTGACTTGATTACAGACAAAGGCAAAATGATGTCGCGGGATTAGAGGTGTAAAAATATGATACAATTCGTTAATACAACACGAAATTAAAAAATTTAGGTTTTTTTTAAATCACTCATTTTGTAAACTAGTGGACTCGACACAACAAGACTTGTTTATATATTGGTCATACACATTTCATTTACAACATGAACCCGATATGACACGATTTGTTAGACATGAATTAATAAATAAATTGGGTACGGATGAAATATTTTTTTGACACAAACTCATTAAGACCGGACACAAATTTACTTTATCTGACGTAATTGGCCTATTCAGGATGAGGCTATGACAGAGCTCAAATCAGTCCCTTGCCATTTTACCATTTTGCGTTTGATGTGTGTAGTTTGTTTTTTTTTTCTAAGTTCGAAAAATTTTCATTTGATGTGCTCCTTACCAAATTTGGATCTATGACTTGAACGAGGGCTCTTGTTAATTCTTTTAATGTCAGATCAGTTAGTATGTATTTGTAGGGACTAACTTGAATTTAATAAATTCCAGTTAGATTTATTAAATTGGAATAAATTATTGTATATAAATACATGCTTAGTTGGATTATTAATGAAATTGACATATGATTGGTTGGTTAACTTAGGTTAAAAGTTAACGAATATTTCAAAAAAATTATTATTTTTTTTATGAAATTTTATTTTGATTCAAAATTTTGGATCAGATTGGGTTATCTGACTGAATGTCCAATCATTAACAAATACAGACCGGGAGTAATATTGTAAAATTCACCGACTAAATGAATCAAATTTTTAATTGGATTCAAATTTGAACCAATCAAGATTTGATTCAAATCTGATATATAGAAGATCAAATTTATATGTATCCAAATCTGGTTAAACAAGTTTAATCGGATTTGGATAAACAAATTAAAATTTTAATCTATATTTGGCTAAATGGAATTGAATTCGAATTAAAATTTGATCCATTAATAACATATCACATAGTGTCCCCATCTGACTTGATAAAAAATTGCATAAAAGAGGACATGTAATGCCCAATAATTCGACTAATATAAAGTTTAGATAGAATCAGATATACTTAGTTTTATTTCTCGCACACAATGTATAAATACTACTTATTACTCGCATATTCAGGCATAGAGTAATAAAAAAAATTGTCAATTTTAAACATATTTGGTAGTGAGCGACGACGACCGTGGTAGTGGTGGGGTGACAAAGGTGGTGGTGGTGGTGAGTCGTGGTAAGTATGGTGGGAATGGGTGAAAGTGGGTGGCTGTGGTGGTGGGCGATGACAGATGATGTTGGTAGGTGTGATGGGGGTGGGTGATAGTAGTGGGCAACGACGGATGGTGATGGGTGATGACAAATAATGGTGAGTTGTGATAGTGGATGGTGGTGAGCAACAATGATGGTGGTGTGTGGTGACAGTGGGCAATATTGATGGTGGGATGATTGTAGTAGTAGTAATAAATATAAAAATGAGATGATGATGGTAGTGGGTGGTGGCGGTGGGTGACGGTGGTAGCAATCGGTGGTGGATGATTACGGTGGTGCTGGGTGGTGGCAATGGCGGTGGTGATAGTGGTGTTGAGAAAGACGGTGGTGGGGTTATGGGGGTGGTGGTGGTGGTGGTGGGGTGACAACGATGGTGGTGATAATGATGGTGGTTAAGTGTTTTATAAATAAGTGATTTTAAAGTAGTAAAAGTTTTTTTTTTTTACTTTTACTTACTTGTTTAAGTGGTAAAACTAATTTTGATTTATTTAGAAGTAATTAAAATAAATTATTTAAAACATCACTTTTTTTTTTTAAAAAAAAAATGTTTATGAAAAGTCATTAGTTCTAGAAATAATTTAAAAAAGTCACCCCAGACAAATCTTTAAAGGGTCTATTTTTCTTATTAAGTTTAAAGAATTAATATTAGTCATTGGATTAACTTTAAAGTAAAATTTAAAATTATCTCAATTGTAAAAAACAAAAGTCATTTTTATATTGTACTTTATTATATAGACTCAAGGAGTAATAAAAAAAATTGTCAATCATAAACATATTTGTATTTATATCCAAAATTAAATTACAAACAAAGAAAATAATTTAAGTACCGGTTGTATGAGGGGTGAGTGGCGGTGGTGGGAGATGGTAATGGTTGTGGTAGGTGATGACAACCGTGGTAGTGGTGGCAGTCATGAGTGACAATAGTGATGGCGGTGATAGTTTTCGAGTGACGATTATAGTAGTGACAGTCATAGGTGACATCGGTGGTGATGGTGGTGGTAGGTGTGGTGGGGGTGAGTGACAATGGGTTATGGTAGTGGGTGGTGATGGACAATTGTCACGGGGTTGAATTTCTCACCAAATTTCTGTCTTGTGATGGCACTGAGATCCTACACTCAGTCTCAACCAAACACTTAGAATGCACACAGGATGCACACAAAAACATGGAAGGAATAGTAAGCAACACACAAGCATTACAGACCACAACCCAACCTTTTATTTCTCAATAAAGCATAAAGGAACCCTTAGCCAGGATCTGCTTACAAAAACGTGTCCAACACTCTATTGGTTGCACTACAGACCCAAGCATTCTATCTATAATGTTCAGGGTGGCGGTTACAAGCCCAACCGTCGAGGCAACCGCCTACAATTCAAATGCTCCCAGAAGTTTGCTATGATTGAATGACAGAAGAAGTTGTAACTGGTGTTTGCCAACTTCCCTGCATGCTGTCGGAGTTTCACAGAGATTTCACATACTGTGCACTTGCCAAAAAATTGCACAGAACTGCCACCATCTGCAAGGCACATGCCCAACTTCCTCACATGTTGTGCATGTGCCAGGAGCCCTCAGTATCCAAATTGTATTACATTCGTGCCTAATCATGCCCAAGCCATGGCTTGATCTTCCAAGCAATATTGCCCCACAAATCGAGTCCCCTGACTAGCTTTTGCTTACAAGCCTACTTGTGCCCACGTGCCCATGCCTTGGCTGCTGCGCCTAGCTATGCATGGGACTTTAATCCCACTGATTGCTGCAAGTCGTGCCCATGCATGAGTTGCCTTACTCAACCATGCATGGGTGTTTGATCACCCACTGGTCATGCCCACCATACCCATGCTTAAACTGTCATCCTCAACTATGCATAGGTCTTCAATCACCGACTGATTGTTCATAGGGATTGCTTCCTTAAGCGAAACCCAGTTTGACTAAGCATAGGCGCCTTTGGGCGAGACTGCTCCATGCCAACGCCGCGCCAAAAACCAAGGGGGTAACAAACCACCCCACCAGAAGAACTCGACGTTCTTGTCGAGAGGTTGTCCCGATTCCCTTTGCGCTGATCAGGATCACCATGCTTCTTCCTCCGATGTGCAGCCTTAACAAAGTTGTCCTTTGACTTATCAAGCAACCCTTGCTTAGGATGAGTAACTCCATGTGCAGCAAAACATCCGGTCCTTTGTCTATCCCCTCCACAAGCAAGAGACTGTTGTTGTCCCATGGTTGCCATCTGATCAGGGACATGGGGTAGAAGCTTTGCACCATGCTTCAACTCATTTTTGTGGTCACTACCACATCCAAGCAGAAAGTCCTTGGGAAGGTTTGGAGGCAAAGTCTCAGTACATTCCTCCACATGGTCTGCCATCAACACTGGCATTTGAACCTTCTCAATGGGTCTGTTCCCCACCAAGGTAGAAAGATAAGTCATCTTTCTTTCCTGCGTTCCAGCATCCATCTGCACTTTTCACTTGCGCTG